AGTTGTTCGTGGGTAAGATAGAATAGATGAAATAATAACAGCAAAAGTTTTTATAGCAATATTTTGGATGGAAAGTAATATAGTGTTAAGTGAATAGAGCTTGTTATAGAACAGGAACAGGCGCTATACAAATGTTATTTATTATTATCATTAAAGTACAGCAGTCTATCAGTAACACTCTTTGCTACAGTTTGAGGGTATTATTTTCAGCCTGTGCCCTAGCGTAGGTTCTCAAATAAGTAACAAGTCAACAGCAACATTTAACTGATGCACAAAATATAACAAAACTGAGGAAAAATTAAGAAAAAACAAACTGACGTCAAACGAGACTCTGTTGGCTCCTCCAGCGACCGTCTTTGACAAAGTCGTCTGATCCTCCTCGATGTCCCCGGGCTGGTCAAAATAGTCTACGGAGGATATCGGAGCTCTGAAAATAAATGTCATGAAAGTATCGCATGTTTGTGATTGAGTCTTCAAATTATCCACAACATATAAAGTCAAACCTGGTCAAAAGAACCGCCCACTGGTGAGGAGATGAATGGTCAGCTTTGAGGCTCGGTTCTTTTGGACGGTATTACGATAATACAGAAAAAAATGCAAGGAAGGGAGTAGGAAATGGAAAGTGTACTGACAAAATGAGTTACTTCTTCGATCCGAGCCCTTTGGACATAGACACATGCTGCTTATAGGTGAAGTTATTACAATTTATAAGTATGGAATAATAATAGGCATGTCATACTTAAAGAATACAGTATCAACAGAAAATCTATAAATTTGACCCTAGCGTCAATTTTTGGCCAATATCTTCATTAGTGGATTGCAAGAAGTAACTCATTTTGTCAGAACGTCTCACAAATGATTTTCTGTATAGGAGATTGTCTTTGACAGTTGGTCATGAGAGCAGGTTCAGCTGTATTTTACATTAGCTGGCTTACTCGGAGGTATCACTGAAATATAATATCTTTTACTTGGCTTGCTTAGAGGTATCACTGAAATATAATATCTTTTACTTGGCTTGCTTAGAGGTATCACTGAAACATAATATCTTTTACTTGGCTTGCTTAGAGGTATCACTGAAATATAATATCTTTTATTTGGCTTGCTTAGACGTATCACTGAAATATAATATATTCTACTTGGCTTGCTTAGAGGTATCACTGAAATATAATATCTTTTTGGCTTGCTTAGAGGTATCACTGAAATATAATATCTTTTTGGCTTGCTTAGAGTTATCACTGAAATAAAATATCTTTTACTTGGCTTGCTTAGAGGGATATCACTGAAGTATACCTTTTTTTTGGCTTGCTTAGAGGTATCACTGAAGTATATTCTATTAATTGAAGGGTTGGTGCAGAACAAACAACGAAGACTCTTACTTTTCCGTAAGTCTCTTGTGCTGTCGGTGTGAGCGCTGTGGGATCTGGGGTGTGTAGCTGGGGGCCAGTGGGTTCTGCTCTCCTGAAACAACAAGGACAAACTGACTGCTTAGAACAAGACTGTCTGCGAGGGCCGCCAAGCAAGCTATGGTAAGTCATGTTTTTCAAATTTTAGAGGAGAGACAAGAAACAGATTTTTTAAAAGCATTTTGGGTGGATAAACTTCATTTTCATTAGGGAGCCTACAAATGCCAAGACAGACATTAGGCTCTCTTATGAAAATGAAGTTTATCCACCCAAAACGCTTCAAGAAAATTCGTTTTTTGTCTCTCCTATAAAATTTGAAAAGCATGACTTACCATAGTTTACTTGGCGGCCCTCGATAATCACTACCTCAGAATTACAAAGTTCTATCTGCTCAGTACCTAGTTTTGAGAAATTTGACGTCAAAGCTTTCCAGTTTTTAAACATGTCAAGCTTTCTCGAATGTAATTTTTGGAACATCTTGATAATGACTCCGAATAATCTTACAATTTTGCATACACTAATTGCCATTAGGAAAAAATACTGATTTTACTTCAAGGCGAACTATATGAGAAAAATTCAGAGTTGTAAGGTTTATCATACTGCTCTGGAGAAACTTACCATCGGAATCTGGCACCTTCCACACTGGATGTCTCTGAAAAGCAATAGAAAAGAAATAGGATGTAAATGTTGGGGAGTATACATGCATGTGTGTGGCATCGTCTAGAAATCAGGTGCTCATCAAAGTAATGAAAATGAAGAAATCAATTTTTTTTTTCGCACATAAGGCAATTTTTATTAAATTTTTTTGTTCAGGACTGATCACCTTTCATGTCCATTTAACAACATATTCCTGAATGGATTCTGCTGAAAAACATTGATCAAAGACACAAACAAAAAGTAAACTGGCAGTCTCCATGGAAACTACAGCTTTGGAAATCATGGATCTTTGAAGGCCACTGTCTTGTTAATTTAACCTGACACCGGACAACCTTCACCTCCTTCAACTGCAAATATCTCCACATCAAAATAAATGGGGAATTCTTTTATTTAAAGCAAAGGTAAATGAACAGGCTTTAAGATTATATCAATGCCAAAATTTTATGAGTGCTGATTCCACTGTGTTGTCAAACATATTTTATTTTTTAAAACTTCCAGCCTGTCATGACAACTAGACCCTGACACGGCTGTTACCGACCGCCAACTTAGTCAAACCGCCAGCCCGCGGCAT